TATGTTCCTGTAATTCCACCTTATTTGATTCTGTGCCAATAAAGACTGGTTAAACAAACCTTGGCCAACGAGTCATGGGCTAGTCCAGAACTGGACCCTCTTTTCTCAATTACTATAGATAACATTCTATGTAAAAGTTAAAAATCCAAAGCGCGCGCTACAGAAAATTGAGAAAAGTGGGTCCAGAGAAATTTSTCAGCGCAWGMGCTACATCAGCCAATSACGATCGATCAAGAGAACCGTTCTCAGCTACAGGGAGCCCAAACAATGACTTTGAATCTACTTTATATTAGTATAATTTGAAATAAAAACAAAAAGCTAAAATAAATAACATATAAATCGCTTTCCAGAAAAATAAAACAATTTACAACTGAATACAAGGAATAAACAAACGAAAAAAACGCTGAAAGATCATTCCCGTCTCATTCCCGCCAATTTCAGAGACGCGTTTGCACACCCAACAGCTATAGATAGTTTATTTCTTCAAGAGGCAACAAAACTAAGCTTTTTCAAGTTTTGAAGTCAACTCTTGAGCAAAAATATAGCCCAAAAGAAGGAGAATGCATAATATGACCTTCGACAACAACGAAATTCTGATGGTCACTTGTGTACTGCAGGAAAAGCTACGATGTTACAATGACTTTCTGGACATTTTGTCGAGCAGGCCGAGCAGTGTGGATATTCTGAAGACCAACGATCTTCACTGGATAGAAGAAGCAACAAAATGGACTCAAATCATAAGTACACACTAGACTTTTGAAAATGTTTTTATTTTCTAATGACCAGAAAATTACAAATCAATAAGCTCACTGCCCTGTTGAAGACTCGAAAGCCAAAGGGATCTGAAGTTATTTTTGGTTGTTTAAGCTTGTTTAACTTATCTATCGATCCCAAAACAAAAACAATTAAGACTTATCTCAGAACATTTGCAGCTGTTCCATTTCAAGAAACAACCTCTGTAAGGTACGAATTAAACAAAAGCTGAATAGTTTGATCTTAGCACTAACTTTTGGCTCTTTCTCTGTTTGGCATCTGGATTTATAGCACTAGCATGAGAAATCAATGCAAAAAAGTCATCCATAATTTTACTGATCTAATAAACCGGCAGTGATTACATATATCTTTCTCAAAATCTAATATAATTTTCAGATAAAGAAATAAGTACTTAGCTTAACTTACTTGAAAAAGAGATGTGGTATTTTGTGTTCGTAAGTTACGCTACCTTATATCAACTTTTTAGTACCGACAGGACGATAAAGCTCATCAATTTTTCGTGTCATTTATATTTGTATAATCTGCATTTGTTCTTGCATCTAGACTAGTTTCTATGCATTAATAACTTGAACTGATCTAATAAACCGGCAGTGATTCTTCATAAAAAAGATCACAAGAAATTTCTTGACTGCGAGCCGCTGCAAGATTAACTATAGGGTACTCAATGTATTCACCCCGAAAACAGGGTGAAAYTGGCGCATGCGCTGACAAGTTTCTCTGGACCCTCTTTTATCGTGACCGTTGAGAACATAGGCCGCCCAACTAATACATTAGAGACAGAAAAGAACGAATGCGCACGCTTTAAAAATGTATTTTATATCGGCGCGTGCTCTTAGAAAAATTCGGGTTACCTGTGGTGTTACGTCACGATCTCGCGCCTCGCGGGACTACACTAATTTGTGACAAGGTATGAAACACTGGTCACGTGACAAATCTTATTTTGCTCATATCTCTCCAATGATAACAGTAAACGACAATTTTATCTACAATAATGATGTATAATATGATTTTCTAACTACTTAATGAGTTTGAGTCTTTGGGTTTCATTTTACGAGAAGAAAATCATAATAAAGCATTTGGCTCGCCATGGATCGATGTGTGCACCAGGTAGATGGGACAGTAATCGGGAAATGTTCGGAATTTTTCATTCGCAAGGTCTTCGGAAGGCTTCGAGAGGTGTCGCAAAGTACGGAAGTGAAACGAAAGTACTTTTGTAGCTGTCGACGAAGGTTCGGCTTTGGTGACATCGACGTGTTGCGGACGACTTGCGTGTTGTCATCATTTTACGTAAAACACTACCTAAAAACAAAGTGCTTTTTCGTGAATTTTCTTCTAAACATGAGCGAAATTACGTTAAATTTCGAGCAAAAGAAGGCCGTAGACCTTGTCACGTCTGGCCATAATGTTTTTGTAGGTGGCAGAGCTGGTACAGGGAAAACTTTCACTGCTAAATACCTCGTAAAGCTGAGCTAAAGACAGAAGAAGGTGTTCTTTA